AACACTTTGTATTAATAACTTGCTCAGAAGAAAACAGCTTGTAAGTTAACTGAATTGGGAGTGGACCCGAAGCCCTGCGAACCTCAAATCTCCATCCGTATCTAACCCCGTGGTGCCTCTCAAAGGTGTAACCCCACAGGTAACATCATTGTGTGGGCTTGATTAATTTTTGATACACCTGGTTTCTTTCATTATCTTCATGAAGGAGTCATATGGAAGTGTAAAGTCAGATGCCAATAATAGTCTTAATATTAGCTATTGAACAAGGATGTTTTTTAATCCTAAGTGATCCCAACCGATCATATTAGACCTTATTAGTCCGAACAAGGATTTCTTACAAAGCCCAAGCAATTTCTCTGCCACTGCTTGAGCTAAGGTTTCCAAAACATCCTTATTTTATCGTAAAGCTTATGAAGGGAGTCCTCTTGAATTTAGGACGCCATAGAACAGGATCTTAGAATTTTAGCCCGAGAAAGGTCTTCTGGGATCATCTCATCAAATCCTCCTATTTTGGTGGATGAAGAAAACAGACCAGACCGTAAAGGGAGCAGGTCTAGATTCCAGGGTTTTGACCCCAAATCCAGGGGCTTTCTTACGTGTTAAATAGAAAGTGGTGGATAAAAAGCCAGCCTTACACAGCCTGGAGAACATATTATCTTCCACAGAGTGGCGTTCATACTGGTGGAGAGAATGGTTTCTAGGGTTTGACACACTGGGTTCAATGAGGATTATTTTTCTTGCTAGCTAAATATCTTTGGAAAAATTCCTTAACCTGTCTATATCCCACTTGTTCCATCTGTAAAGTGCAAACAAATAAGAATTGTACTTACACCCCAGGGCTGTTGAAAAGATTAATGGAGAGAATTTCTATAAAAAGATTTAGCACACAGCCCCTACACAGCACTTGATAAATGTTTGCTTTTCTAGTAGTTATTGGGAAAATCCCTTAAAATTAAAGTTGAAGGTTTGTGATATGTCAATATGACAAAAACATTTGCCATTCCTCTAAACACTCCAACCTGGATACTTACTTAACCATTTCCCCCAAATGAAGATATAAATGATGTATAGTTCCTTAAAAAAACAACAACAACATAATTTCTCTCCTTTCTTCCATTTCCAGCATCTGGTCACAGAAGCCAGATAGAGTGCAATGCGTGTTCTTAATCATTAGATGAATTTAACCGCTAGGGGGCATGCTAATCCAGCCAAGTGCACGGCTGACTCAAAAATCTCTCACATGATGCGATTTTTGAAATGTATATATGCATTTCGTTTTTAGACGGATAGCACAAGTTCAAACTCCATTCTTGGAAAATACATTTGCAAAGGAAAGAGACCCTTTTCAATCTATCATGTCTGATTGCATCAAGAAATTCACCCCTACCTGCCGTATGTAAGCTGCTGAGGTAGTCAGTACTTTGCATATACCAGTCAACCCATAAGAGCTCTGGTGGGATAATGTGCTTTGCCTAAAGTTTCTGATGGGAATAAACAGAAATCAAAAATTAGAAAGAGAGAGAGAGAGAGAAATCAAAGTGCATAATATATCTGGATTTTTCTAAGCAATAACATTTTTTTTTTTTTTGGAAAATAAAATAAGCATTTTTATTGGCTTATTGTTTGTTTAACATTGTGTTTTTAGATGAAAAATAATTTGTCATTCT